GTAATTTCATCCACAAGAAACCAGTAAGGTTCTTAGCCATTATAGGTCGCATTTGGGTTGCTCTTCCTTTTCTACAGGTAAGACCTAAAAAGAAGGTGATCTCTTGCAAGTAATTAAATTTCACAGTTAAATGCATGCATGCGTGCATGATACTTCGATTTTATTTGAAAAAAATTAGTATCGGGTCTCTAGTTACTAATGTTTTTTGAGTCAGACCTTATTAGTTTTAGTTTTTGATCGAAATATGTAGCATTAATGTATTAATAAAATTTAAATGTCAGTTACATAGTTCGCCTGAGTTTTAGGCCCAAAATTGACATGCCAAATGAAAGTTGAGTTAATCCAAGTCCAAAACATTCGCTTTAGGAATTTGACAGCAACAAATAATTTATTAACCCTTAAATTACTAATTCTCCAATCATTTTTCTTTGTCAAACGTCATTTCCTCCATCTAACTTTTTATTGAACAAAATATATTACCTACATTAAGGAGAAAGAGGTGGGTTTAGCCTCCATTTAACTTTATTGAATATAAAATAACATAATTCTTGTCCCACACCAATGCTATATTTTTTAGGATCAAGGCCCCTTGACTTTTTCTCATGTTATTATTTGAATGTTAATTATATTATTTACAAGTCATTATATGTCAATTCTAAAAATAAAAACCCTATTAATCATTTTCAAATATATCTTTTTAGTATTTTTCATATATTTCTTTTTATAATTTGTATCTTTTCTTTATCTGTACAGTTTTCCTTTTTAGTTTTAATTTGGGCCCATAATTTTGAATTTTAATACGAACCCTTTTATATTTTTTGTGAATGTACTTATGCTTATTATATGTATTTATTTTATGTTTTAAAATATATCAATAATTATTTCTTAAACTATATTAATAATTATATGGGTACATTATTTTTGTGCTAAAACTATGTGAAAACAATATTTCTCTATTATTGATTTTTAAGTATTTGTTACATTGTAAAGTATTATTTGAATTTGTTTATATTTCATAATTTGTGGAAAATTGAATGTATAAATGCATGAGTGAAATTTCTTAAATGATGTTGCGGACCTCAACCAAACTATTTAAATAAATAAGGCTTCGTTGTTATAGTTAGATTGATTAGGGATTGGAACCAAAATGACCATATTTATTATGTTCATTTCTCTTTTTTTTAGTAAAACGATTTATTTTTACAATGAAAGGAAGGGTCGTTCGGTAAAGCCACACAATGGATAACATGTACATTCCTATTAAGTTTGTCATTTTGCTACCTATTTATGGTTGTAAGGTAGCGTTTGCCTTGTGGGTCTAGGATGAGACTTTAAAACTTTAACACACATTAGATGGATTATTTAGTAAAGGATTTTTAGCCAAAATAATTTTTGAGATTTGCATAACTCTTCATTTTGATAATTGAGATTTGAAATCAATAGAAATTGTCTTTCAGTTTGTCCACTATTAATTATTTTAATCCTTTAGTGAGAAATTATGTTAAATAAAGATCAAAATAACAAAAATACCCTCAATTTAACAAACAATGGGTCAAAATGATTTGACAAAAATTGAGAGTACTTTGGTCATTTTACTTTATTTAATGGAGATTTTTTAGAAAATGACAAAAATGATTGATGGTGGACAAACTCAGAGACCACTTCTATTGATTTTAAATCTCAGGATCAAAAGTGAGAAGTTATGCAAATCTTAGGGGTCGTTTTGGCTAAAAAGCCGTAAGTAAATTAATGATTTAATAACATTGGTTAGCTAATAGACCAATATAACTGTTTGTTCGAATGTCTCCAGGCACTGTTGCTCATTGGAAGGTATACATACTTGGATAATTCTAAGCTTGTTTCACTAATTCCATTCCAGTATATACTGAGGGCTTATAACCATTACAAATGGCTTGATCGGCGTGCTAACATAGAGACTGTACCAAGAAGATTCCTTAAAGCTATATTAGACTTCCTTCCGTTCATCATTGCTTCTCATGTAAGTTCAAATCTTCATTATTTCGGATATTTGGGGTGAAAAATCTAAATTTTGTTGAAATCTTATTGTTATTGTTGAGATATACGAGTGTAAATATGATGAACTTTTTAAAACTAGCATGGTCACCACCAACATATTTACTAATATTGTTCTCCATGTAACCACATACCACTAGGTGCGGAGTTTTCCACTAAAAGCGTTTGTGCTAGTAGCATTGAACCTTTCTCATATAAACTGTAAATTATCTTTTTAAATCTTCAATGTGAGACTCTATTCTCCAACAATAGATATAGCAATGCCCAACCATTAACCGGTTAGTAACCAACAACATCATCTCATAATCAACATCCAAAGAAGGAAAACTTTCACAATAACAATGCAAATAGTGAAATGATGTCCGATTTGGATAACTTTTGCAAGCTTGATCTTTGAAATGACCTAAATTATGAGCCAGCTAAATAATGAGATGACGTTGTGTAGCGGGCTTAAATATATAGTTAGTATCATATTTACATATTAACTTATTAGTACTTGAGCACTCCTAATAATAGGTACAATTAACTTCTCATATGGTTTTGAATAAACAAAGGGAAAACATATGACAATACTGAATAGGAGTAAGAGCATGTTTACTTCTTCTTTAAAGGCCATCTTGTTTGAGGGGTGTGGTGCTTTCATTTCATTATCTTTTATCTTTTTTCAGTACTTTTCAGAAACATTGATTATTAACTATATCGTCGTGTTTGTCCTTCAGCTATACGGATCCTTGTGGTACTTTTTTGCTGTGGATCGAAAGATAATATGTTGGCAGGACTATATCTGTAAACATGGACAAATATGTGATGATTACATCCATAGTTTCCATTGCGGTCGTACTAGTCGGACATACAATGGGCGGATCAATATCCCACTTTTAAAACTATCATGCTCTGCACCACTTCCAAACACTAGGACATCGTTCGATCACGATTATGGTATATATCTGTCTGCTCTCCAATCTAATATGTCAACATCAAGATATCTTCCAAGAAAGATGTTGCAGTGTTTTTGGTGGGGCTTGCGAAATCTTAGGTTTGTATTGGTATGACTTTTCATGTTTGATCACCTAGAAATATTTATGTTGTATTCTCATAATTTGTCTCCTTGCAGTTAAATCCTATAAAAAATTTATGCCAGTTTTCTAAAAGAACGTAATCAATAATTAATATATTGCCCCCCATTTCATTTTTTTGCAGTTCTTTTGGTTCAAACCTTGAGACCAGTTTCGACACGGCCCAAATCGTCTTTTCTGATGTGGTCTCTATAAGTGGCGTGATACTATTTTTAGTATATCTCAATTCGAGGGTGCAGGTTAGTGCCGTGATCAGTAGTCTTTTAAGCAAAATTTTTGTCATTAATTAAGCTTAAAGCTCCTCCATGCAATTTTTTTTTGTGTATTAATGCACGTACGTATGCTTTTGGATTTATTGAACTCGTCATGAAATCGCTTTATCAAGTTACTAAACATGCAGTGGTACCAAAAAGCAGCCGAGCGGCGGATATTGAGAAACAAGAAGGAAAAGACATATCCAGTCTTAATAGAACAAACGCTTATCGTGCCCCGTCACTGCGTGAATTCACTAAAGAAAGTATGTAACTAGAAAATTTTGAATTTAATAGTCAATAAAGATAATATACGTCATGCGTAATAAATTTTATCTAATTGAACATTGGTATGCAGGTTCCAATTATTGGAAGTATAGATAAAAAAGGGTTGCAGGCAATATCTGAGCGTCTAAAACCCGTGATTTATAATGAGGACGTGTATATTATTAGGGAAGGTGAACCGTTGCGGAAGATGTTGTTCATTTGGCGAGGCACTACTTTGACCTACACCACTACTAAAGGTGCAACAAACGTATGCAAATGCCTTGAGAAAAATGATTTCTATGGAGAACAACTTGTAATTTGGGCATTGAAATCTGCCTCATTTTCTGAGTTGCCTATCTGCACTACAACCCTGGTGTCCCAATCAAAAGTTGAAGCATTTTCAATCACGGCAAACGACTTGAAGTCTGTAGTCGCTAAGTTTTGGTTGCACTTTAGAAGGGATCTTCTTCACTCTCAGGTGGAGTGTTTTGCAGCTTCTTCCATACAAGTAGCATGGCGCCGCTACCACGCAAAAAAGCTAAGAGATCAACTGGCTGGGAAAAGTGGAGTATTTTGCAGCTTCTTCCTTCCATACATGTAGTCTGGCGTCGCCACCACTCAAAAGAGCCAAGATCAACTGGCTGGGACTAATATGTATTTTGAGTTGGTATCACTTTTGTTTTGTGTGTGCGTTTTGAGTTGGTATTGCATGCTTTGGTTCCTATTTATATTGCTTTAATCTCTTTTGGCTTTGGTTTCCCTTCAATTTCGTGGTGTCTTGCGTTTTGGTTTTTGTGGTATGAAAAGTGTGTAATCATTGAGGTTAATGAGAACGATATTATGTATGAATTAAAAGCTCAAATTTTGGATAATCTTCTTCAAATTGAACATGGAATGGTGGAACTGGTGTTTATGTTCATTAATATTTGTAGCATAATGTGAATACTGGTGCTGGTATTAATGTTGTAAGAAATAAATCAAACTAGTATATGCCCACACACAGTGTGTGTGTGTGTGAGAAATTACATTACTGCTTTAACTTTTTTGCCGTGACAGAAAATTAAATGATCTTTTCATCCTCTTTTGATTGACAAAGATGATTATGTTAATATATAGTTTAGATTCTTATGTTGTAGCATAAGGGTTTATGGTTTATATAGCTACAATAACTCTGCTGTTTTTACAACGACTATGAAGAGCGCCAACATGCAAGCTATAGCTAGGGCCGGGTGCACAAACGGCTGGAATTCATGGTTACGGTATCGGGTATCCCTATCACCATAAAGATATTCAAGATCACATAAGAAGTTTCGGTTTCTCCATATTTGTCTCATACCCAAATACCCATTTATAAATCCTCCCCAAACGACTGTGTACCTGGGTGAAATGATTTTAACAGGTAGGAAAATGTCATCCCTAATGTCAACAGTTACCCTTGCACTCTAGTTTCCAAAGTTGTATCAAAAGTCGAAGGATAATGCTATTCACATGCTGATTTTTACTCCTCAACACACCCTTCTTAATTTTCAACCGTCGAATCAATAAACTGTAAAAGATCAATTGTAAAAAAATTAATAAGGGTGTGTGAGGTAAGAAAAAAGTGTGAATAGTACTATACATGTTGAAATAGGGATGATTTGAAATCAAGCACAATCCCATGCACGGTTACTCTAAGAATTGCATGATAATTATTTTTGAGTGCCAGTAAACAAATGAAAAGAAGCTCATGCCTATCCACCATGAATTGCATGATAATTGTTTTTGAGTGCCAGTAAACAAATGAAAAGAAGCTCATGCCTATCCACCATGGTGTCAATTCAATCCCTAATAAGTCTCTTTTCTTCAAACAACTAACTATTAAACTCACTTTAAAAAAAAAAAAAAAAAAAAAAAAAAAACCCATTGCACCTAAGTCGTATTACTTTTGGGCTGAAAAAAAACAGCATATTATTGTTATTATCATAAAAGGCTGGAGCCCAATAAGCTAAAACCCTGGCCCCACCTAAACCCTTCAGTTTTGCTTTCTCATCTTTCCTTCATCAGAGTCTCTGTTTCTGAAAAACCTGAAGAATTAGAAATGGTCAGAAGCATCAAGAACCCTAAGAAAGCCAAAAGAAAGGCCACGGTCAGCTCCAAATTCCACTACCTTCTCCGTTTATTATTTATTTTTTCGTAAATTTAGGGTTTTATCTTTTTCCCAATTGATTTGATTGAATTGACTTGAATTTTTGTTTAGGGCTCAAAGAAAGAAGATGCGTCTTCTTCCTCTTCGGAACCGTCGATGCCAGCGAAGGTATGGCAACCGGGAGTGGACAAGCTGGAGGAGGGCCAAGATTTTGGTGTAGTATGCATGTCGAGTGAGTGCATGTATACATAGCAGAATTACACCAATTAATCTGTGGGAGGAAGGATATAGAACAACTCATCAGGTAAAGAAAAAGAATCATGATTTGAAAGTTTGGAAGCCATTACATACTCATTTCTTGCTGCTCTCTGTAAAAGATGTTTTCAAGAGCTTCTTGGTAATCTAAATTTATAGTTCCATTTTTTTTTCAACGATATCCAATATGATTATGTATTTTACTGCTCGATATATTTCCTACTCATGATCATTTCTCAGAGGCTGTCAATACTGGGTTATCTGCGGTTATTGAGGGTTGTTTGGCTTGCGACGAACTCAAATACAATAGTATTAGGAATTATTGGTTTAAATCTCTGTATGAATTGGTTGTTTGTAGAACTAGATCATAAAAGCTTGTTTTAGCCCTACCCATAGTTTAATTGGTATTTTGGATGTGCATGTAAAACCAAGCTGAATAATTTCTTACGAATGGTATTACTATTTGATTTGATTAGATTTCGTAATATTGGAATTTATGTTTTTTTTTAATATTTAACCTATTGGGCACAATAAGTAAAAGTTGTGTTAATATGGATGGCAAAGTAAATCTGACAACTTGTCAGAGCGGAGGCACAAAACCCTTCATTTGTGCTGACATTATTGAGCGCCAAAAACTAGTATTGTGCTCTCTAATCAATGGTAACGCCCATATAGAAACATGGTTGCTTCATTGTTATCATTGACCTATGAGCACATATGTTGGTGCCTTTGGCATTAAAGGGCACATATAATTATAATTTATTGTGTGCAGTGCCCAGTTTTGTTGTAGTGGGGACTGCTAAGATGCGTTTGTTCCTGCGCTTTGCTTCTTCTCTCTCTCCCTTGCTCTATCTTTTTGCACCGACAACCCAGACGCGGAACGATGTCGACGCCACCCACTCCTCTTCGCCGAGGTGATAGAACACTTCCTGGGTGGTGAATCAATTAGAAAAGAGAAAATTTATTTGATTATCGTGATCGGCTGAGGGCTGGGGTCGACGGCGGCGGACCGAAGGCTAGGTTTGAAGACTGAGTTCGAAGATGGCGGCCTAAAGGCTAAGGTCGACCATGGCTGCACGAAGGCAACGAAGATGCATTTGTGGCGCCGTCAATTGGATTTGTGGATTTGTTGTTGTGACGCCGTCGTCGTTCCAATTTGTGGCACAATACACTTTCTGGGCTTACATTTCAGAGCCTCAAATGGCGATGGGCAAAAGGATTCCATACAATATTTTCCCCAATTTTTTTTGGTGGATTTGTGAGAAATCTATTATTATGTTTTAATTCTGAAAAATTGTTTGGTTTTGGTTTGAATTGGGTGTTGGTAGAGAAAAGTGGATTTGGTTAATTTCAATTTTCCTTCCTGTAATTTGAGATTTGATTGTAGGTTGGTTAGTTTATGATGTCGTAGTGTTGAATTTTGTTGTTGTGATTGTTCAAATACTGTTTTATTTTCACTGATTTTCAATGCTTCTTAATCCCCAATAATGCGTCAAACACTTTACTAAAACAATTCAATTTAGTTTATTTTAAGCTAGTTCAGTTTAATCTTTGAAGCTAATTTAGTTTAAAATAGTTAGGTACAACAAATGTACCTTAAATATTTTCCAAGCACGATTATGAGTCATTCAAGTCGAAGTCGGACTATGAATCATTACTTCCCGACTTTGGATATGTTTGTTGTTTAGACTTCAGAGTTCTTTTTAGCTATATAAGCTATATTAGAGTAGGATTAGCCCGTATCGAATGGATAATTATTTTTATAGAAAACTAGATTTTAATCTCTAAATAAGAGTTTAGAAAAATGTCTTATACAAGATTAAAAATTGATTTTAGTCCCTAGAATCTACTTAATGCCAGCATCTCAATGTTTCTTTTTTTATTTATGAATTAATTTATGAAAATATTATAAATTTTAATTCTCATTATGATAGGCATCTTATATAAGAAAATATTTTCATAGAGATTTTTCGGTACATTTATGTTTTTGCATATTTTCTTATCTACTACTAATTCATAACAATATATTTAGGTACGAATATTTTGATACAATGGGTTAGTATAATATGTTTAGGTATGGACATTTTGGTACACTAGTTTAGTATAATATATTTAGGTACCAACATTTCGGTACACTAGTTTAGTATCATATAGTTAGGTACGAAATTTTGGTACACTTATGTTTTTACATATTTTCTTATTTGTCACTAATTCACTATAATATATTTAGGTACAGGCATTTCGGTACACTAATTTAATAAAATATATTATTGTCACATCCCGGCCCTAGGCTGATCACTTCTCGTTGGGCTCCCAGCACACCCTCACGGTTTTGTTTCTGGGAACGTACACTAATTTAGTAAAATATATTATTGTCACATCCCGGCTCTGGACGGATCACTTCTTGAGTCCGCTCCACCACCGTAGCACAATATTGTCCACTTTGGGCTCCCAGCACACCCTCACGGTTTTGTTTCAAGGAACTCACACGAGAACTTCCCAGTGGGTTACCCATCATGGGAGTGCTCTCGCGCGCTACTCACTTAACTTCAGAGTTCCCATGAAACCCGAAGCCAGTGAGCTCCCAAAAGGCATTGTGTTAGATAGGGATAGGAATATACATATAAGGATCACTCCCCTGGGCGATGTGGGATCTTACAATCCACCCCTCTTAGGGGCCTGACATCCTCGTCGGCACATCACGACCAGTGTTAGGCTCTGATACCAATTGTTATATCCCAGCCCGGGACGGATCACTTCTCGAGCCCGCTCCACCACTGTAGCACAGTATTGTCGGCTTTGGGCTTACTATTCCCTCATGGTTTTGTTTTTGGGAACTCACGAGTAACTTCCAGTGGATCACCCATCATGGGATTGCTCTAGCCCCCCTCTCGCTTAACTTCGGAGTTCCTATGGAACTCGAAGCCAGTGAGCTCCCAAAAGGCCTCGCGGTAGGGATGAGAATATACATTTAAAGATCACTCCCCTGGGCGATGTGGGATCTTACAATTATGATATAGACGTTTAGGTACACTAATTGGAGAAAATTAAATAAAATTGTATAATAATAAATTTAAAATTTAATGTAATAACATTAAATAAGTTATCTATTAAACATAAAAACAAATATATAATATGAATTTGAATTAAGTACACATTAAAGGTCTAAAATCAATAATCAATCTAAACCAGGTTTTTATTAAATTTTAATCTTCTTGAATGATTAAAATTCAAAACCCCCTTATTTTTATGGCATGTGAAATGAAAAAAATTATGACCAAATTGGAGTTAGGAGATGAATTAGTCAACAACAAAAATTATCCATTCCAATCATTCTCAAAAATAAAGTGGGTTTCCAATCATTCTCAAATTGGAGTTAGGGGATGTAGGGATAGATTCTGGTCCATCCCAGGCGACGGTTTGGTGTTGACATAGGGCCTGAAGTGTGTTTCCTCTGGCTATTTAGCACAGGGATGGGGAGCCGGCATGGGGCCTGGAGTGTATTTTTTTCTGACTGTCTTCTTAGAGACGGTGTGTCAGCATGGGGCCTGGGGGTTATCAAACATTCACTAGTGATTATTATATATACAAGTTATGATTTGAGACATTACACTACATGCTATGTTTCGGAAAAACCTATGTTTATCATAATATATGTGTTTTCATAAAACCTGAGGGTTAGTATGTTGATAACTGTTTTATTATATATATCAACTCGGTTCACTCATGTTTGTTTTGCGCCCCCTTAAGGACTTAGAATCGCCTACATATATTATACAGGTCGTCTAGAAGTTTTCAATGAAAATTTCCCTGCTGTAAGTATCCTAATTTCCATGATGTTAATGATGCGCAAGCTTCTTGTTTGCTAAGCTATTTAAGTCGTGTTTTGGTTTTTGGTTCGGGGGGTCACCATCTGGAGTCCTGAATTCTACAAATTAGATAAAGAAGTCAGCAGTCCACCCTGTGCCTTACAATCACTTTAAATAAAGAGATTTCTCCCAACTAATAACATGGGAATCTCAGAAGATATGTGCTCGAATTAAAGATTTGATCTTGGTGGATAATTTGCCTGATTTCACTTATTTCTACGTATGCAAAAAGCTCTGGAACTGAAAATCTGAGTTTCCATCCAAGTGTGTGCTATTCACTAAATCTACTTTTGGTACCTTGCAGGCTGAGCATAAATTATCATATGCCTTGAAGCATTGCAACCCTCAGCACGAAGCAAATATAAGGTTAGGTCCACATGTGCTTGCTGCACGTATTTGGCATATGTATGAGAGACTTTAAGGAGGCATCTTTGTAGGCAAAAAGGTGGTTGTTGTGCCTTTATATTCTTCAGCTTGAATCCTCTTATTATTTTTATGACGTTGAACATCTTGTGATTGGTAAGATCGATTTCTGAAGATGGAACTAATTTCTTCAAAATGAAACAGGTTCTTACGGTCAGGTGTATATCTTGTCCTAGAGAAGCTAGAACTCCAAGCCTACCAGAGATTAATAAAGAAAATGTAACTTCTCATTCCATTTTCTAAAATCGACGGTAAAATTCGTCTGAAGATTCAGTTCATGACGTCCGCATGCTCGTTCTGCAGTTACTTCATTCAAAAGCAAAAGGACCCGTTTAAAGCTCATCAGCTGAAACTACAAGTAATTGTTAAAGCTTTAAAATGGCTTGAGATAGCCATGGATGTCGATGAGGTACTTGTTCTGTCCGCCTCTCTCTCTATCTCTCTGGTAGCTTATCTTGGTTTCTCCGTCTCTTTCGCTCTAATCAAATCTCTGGTGTAATTTGCAAAGTTGTGGTTTTGAGCAAGCCCGTCAACTCATAGAAGTAGGCGGGTGATGAAAAATACACTGCTAAGATGAGATACGCCGGCAAGTTCGTCGTCATTGGAAACCATTTTTGTCGGCCTCGTGAAGAAATCATGTCTTACTTCACTAGTGATGTTCGCTATCTCATCAAACTGAACATTTTTTTACACATTTTTGACATAGTTTTTTAATCCTCTGTTCCTTACGGTTTCCATTCTCTTATACATTTTTTACCAACGACTACTGCCAAATAAATACGGGTAAAATCCGATGAGATGCATAACGTAAATAAACCCAACGGACGAAGATATTGAAAAGGTATCAACAAAAACACCTGGTTCTGCTAAAATCATTAAGCCAAAATTGCAGAGGTCACTCCATACAACTAAACCAAACCACCCAAAAAGGGGAAGGAAAACGAAAACCGAAAACAACTGTCACTTCAAATATGTAATTGCTTCGGTACATAAGCCATCCCACTATTGGAATATGATCTGATATATATCTACTTTCCGGTGCACGAAAGAAACTTATAAACTTCGAGTTTCAAGGAACATTAGAGATCAGAGGGAAGGGTCATCCGTACGTTTTAAGGCATCAGAATATTATAACCATCAGCCGCAGTTCAAACGAGCATGCCAGGAATCTGAGTATGCCAATGAAGTTCTTTCAAGTCTTTCTGTCCCTGTTTACCATAACTTACCACGAGTTAAATGACTGAAGAACTGGGGGGATCTTGGAGTAGAACAGTCGGTCCGAAATGTCTACCTGATGAACAAACAGAAGCTGCGGAGGTAAATCTTTGGGAGCATTCACTTCCTCTTTTGTCTTAGCTTTGAATTCTGCCTCTTCCTCCTCGTCATTTTCTAAAGATAGATCCCATATTCTGGTAACAAAAGCCAAATGACAAATATATTGAGTTCATACATAAACACCAGGAAAGTTAAAAGTGTTTGTGTCAGGCACGCCATTTATCACTTCAATCTGATCTCTGTATATTACTTACGTCAGCTGATTGTCAGAAGACGTCACGGCCAAAGTGGAGGCTTCGTGTGGACTCCACTCGATGGATGTGATAGGGTCCTTCCTACATTCAGATAGAGGAAAGAGGACTATATCATTTTAGAATTATCAACTTAAATGAATCACTCAAAAGTCAAAACAATTTCATTGAACCCAATTTAACACTAGTGGGAATTCCAACAAGACGTACCTTCAGCAATCTAAGATCGCGAATGGAAAAGGTGCCATCGTCACTTCCAGATGCCAGCATACAACTAGCCAGCCTAATAAAAAAAAAAAAAAAACAATACCAAGGTCGTCATTTCATACGTGGAATAAAATGTATTGAAACAAATAACAAGTAAGAAACAGCGAAGGTTAAATAAACACCTATTCCAAGACATAACATTCACATCTGCATTATGCGCCTTAAAAGAAGTTGCTGGTGCCTTCCCTATGCGGATATCCCATATTGCTGTATTCCCATCAACAGAACAAGAAGCAAATACATCAGGTTCTGTAGGACTCCACTGCAAAGATAAAAGTGAAAAAGAATACCGTTAGACGATTGGAAAACTACTCTACTGAGATCACGAGACTGAACATATGCTTTATATCAACAGATCAAACTTTAGCTTCC